ATGCCGAATATCGCTACACTAGCACTCGAATTATTCAGAAAAGCTTGCAACCTACCTGGATCTTCACTTAGTCGCACAATGTCGTCTGCCTACTCTAGATCAGACAGCCTGCCCCCTGGGAGTAAATCGATACCGCTATCTTCGTACGAGGATAGAAAAGGAGAAAGAGGGCAATCCTGTCGAACACCATTTTCCGTGGTGAACTCGGGCGAAAAAGGGCCGTAAGCCCGGACTTGACTTCGTCTATTATTATGGAGGGATTGTAATATTGAAATTGACTTCTCGGGTACACCTTTCAGAGAAACGCAGCGCTAGAGTTTAGAGTGGTCGACTGAGTCAAAAGCCGCTTCCATATATAAGAAGACAGAGATGGTGGGTCTACAAAAAGAATGCCGGTGCTCCAGAATTTGGCGGAGAGTGAAGAAATCAGCTTGGTTCTGATGCGTGCACCGTTCACGTGCGGTAGACAATGGGCGGGGTATGATGCCAGCGAGAAGTTTGGAGGGAAATACATCCGGTCTAAACTACACAGTCACCTACACGAACATAAACTTGCCTTCTGACGAGCTGACCCGAGATTATAAATTTGGAAGCAATGCGCGCGGACAGGTCATCAGATCGCGATCGATAATGCAAAGGTGGTGGGACGAACAAAGAAGACGGGGGGGGGAACGATTCATTCTCGAAACTCTGAGTCGCTCGGTCAATTCATTCAGTCTATACGTTCAGGTGGTTAAACATTACACCACACGGGCAAAACCCGTGATGATTGGTAGACATAGACGCACAAATAACACAGGTGCACGGAAAGACAATAACCCCATTATCTCAATAATTTCATTTAGGTTTGACAAAAAGTCCTAGTCTGGATCGAAATGTTGCAATAAACATTTTACAAATCAATGTACGTCTGTATTCTTTCTTCAAATACATGCGGACATATGTGTGGAGAGGGACAGGGGAGAAAAGTATTCTTGGTTAGTACTGACCTTCACAACTTCCAAATGACCAAGTTTCGCGGCCACGTGTAACGCTGTGTTGCCATAAATATTGGGCACATTGATCAACTTTTTGGCCTTGTCATTCAGTAGGATCATCTATTGCGAAATAATTTTTATAAAAGATAATAAATAGCATCAAGTTGTCTGTGACAACTAAATGGGTGATGAGTTTCAAACGAAGAACTAACTGTAAACCCTCATAAAGATATTGGTCATTTTGGTGCCAGACTGTCGAAAGTTAAGTGAGTTCTTGATCCGGATAGCAATGAAGTCGCCGGGGAAGGAAGAAAGTGCGCGGTTGCATTATTTCAATCTTAAATCAGAGCACACGGGTACAGATGACTTTGAATCCCTAAACATCACCCTATGCTTCGATACAATTGTCCGTGCTCGAAACGAATCACAAACAAAACACGCGACACTTCCAATCCAAATGTTTAAACAAAACGTTCAGATCATATTTTTATTCTCTCCGGAAAAAGTTACGGGTATCTCACCGTTGGTTTTCATCGTTACCGAACTCATACTGATTCTCAGAGAAGTTGATGACATACAGAACGCTACTGTTGCTGCAATAACAATTGCGGTATGCATTTTACACCAAAGTAACAAGTGAATCAGACGCGCAAAATTAAACGCGCGATAGATAATCGCTTAGTTGTACAATCTACAGAACCTAATCTTCACTTTGATACTAACTGGATCGTAATATTGTCATTTGATAAAAGTGCCGATGACGCGGTCTTGGAGATCCATGATTATTCCCCTAAAAAAATCCATACTCAATACTCATACTTACTTCATCGTTGTGTTCTGACTAACCAATCAAGTATTCACTTTTGTTGAGCAAAATCCACCGGGACAAGAACTTACACGAAGGACGTCCAAACTGTTGCATTCGGCGCTCAAATAGATGACTGATTTGGCATTTTTATCCTGGGCGAACAAATTGGCTCCGTGTTCGATCAGCAGTTGAACAATTTCCACATGACCTTTAGACACAGCCAATAGGAGAGGAGTGCATGCATTACTGTCCTCATTTTCCATGTTACTTCCTCTGGGAGAGAAAGAGAGAATGAGAGAAACAGAGAAAGTTAGAGGGGATCTGCCGCAGAGATGCAGAAACAAGGGCAAATACTAAAGCACGGTCAATTATTTTAGACGGTGAATGTTTGAATTAGTCCGTTCGGTTTTTTCACAGGAACCAGGCACTGTTGATGATCCTGGGTGTAATTTTTTAGGAAGATCGTTAATTTCCCACCAGTTGAATGTCCTTTAAATTCGCTGGAAATGTTTGCAATAACTGACGAAGAGTACTGGACAGCTGTTTGTTTTGGCAGGGAGCCATTTGCACAAGGTGATGACCGGCGACCGTGTAGCTCAGTGGTAATGGGTTTGAAGTCCCAACCCGGAGGTTTGCAGTTAAAGTCCTAACAGAGCAAAAGAGTACACACTGCTGACAAGTCCCGAACAGGATGAAACAGCTGTCCATTACTCTTTGTCGGTTATCACATACATTTTCATCGCATTTGAAGGGCATTCAACTCGTGGGGGGAATTAACTACCTCCCAGAGAGTAGAACCCATAGCCAAGATCATCAAAAGCGCCTGGTGTCTCTGATCAATCGAATGGGCTAATCCAAACATTCACCGTCTAAAATGTATTATAAGATTTTCTCTGGTGTTGGCCATAATAATGATAATAATAATAATAATAAATTAATATTAATATAGCACTAGCACAATATTTCGCCCCTGGTGAATAACTGTCTCGTTGATTATTGAGAAAATTTGGAAGAACTGGAACTGTACGGCTACTTTGTCCATGCAAGAATTACTAGTGTCGAATAATCAATAAATCCATGGGGATTTTAACTCGGGCACGAGTGGTTGTTCATGCTAAGCGCTAACTGTAGTCAAACTGGTCTGACTAGCTCGCACACGTCTCATTTTGTATCACATGGAATAAACAGTAGCAGGGATTAATTAACCTGGCATTCAACAATGAAAACCCGTAAGTAGTTTAAGCCATGAAGTTTGAAGGGCAAAACTGCATTGGCATTAATCCAGACAGGATTGGGAATTGTTCACCGCTAAAGTTTGAAGGGAGTGGTAAGCTAGTGAATCTCCGATAGTGTCCGCGACTTACACACCACTAGAACTTCATCATCCTCATTGGTGAAAGGTTTGAAGTGAATAAGGAATCCTCTATTTATGATTTGGTAAGTTTCAGTTACATTATTTCCAAGAACCTCCGGTCTCAGGCATCACTTTGCGTCATGAAGATGATGCCTAACAGATGCGACAGCGGTTGATGCTCTGTCAAGCACACTTGGCGCGTCTTCCCTAAAGCTATGCCATGTCTTCAGAGCATTCTGAAAAGCATAGCCACTTTTCCAGCTTCCCATTCAAGAGTAACACTTGAGAAACGGGAATGATGGAGAATATGTTTAATGAAGAATGATGATAGTGATTCGACTGATTACCAATCATCGCGAGTGGATTGTTCCAATTCAGTCACCCAAGCTTATCAAGCTGACCAAACTAAACAGGAGGAAACACTGTCCATAAACGAGCATACAAACTGGAAACGACCAGAAACTGCAATTCAAACCAGTCACACTGGTTGACTTATTGGAATAGGAATAAACTAAGCGACTATAAAAGTGTATTCAACTGAGAACAAATTAGTGGATGATGACCGACAAAAAACAATACGGGGAATGTTTTGTTTATGTTGGAACTCGTCAGCAGCACGTACTGTCTTTGTCATGTCTTCTGGGATTCAAACTGTGAACCTATAGTTTTGAAAGGAAATCCTTAACCTTGGCTACATACAACAATTGCATCGAGTTTGAATGCAGTTCACACGTGGGAATTGCATGAACTCACAAGCAGTCAATCCCACCAAGAGAGGCTACATTCGGGTCATCGATAGACGGTACTTGGTGTCTCATGGAAATGCAATTGAGTTTAACCGAACCTAACATTCTAAATGATCATAAAGTATAGTTGTAGATTAGGAATAATCCGTTCGATTGTTCACAGGCACCAGACACTATTGGTGGTCTTGTCACGGAATCATTCGCACAAAGTGATGACAGTCGACCGTGTCACTCAGGAGGTAAGAGTTTGATTGCCCAACTCGAATGTTCGCGGTTCGAATCCTGACAGGATGAAAGAGCTGTCCAATGCCCCCTGTGTGTCGATCATCAAAAATCTTTGCATCGATCATAAAATAGCTTTTCATGCTACGTCAGCTTATTTCATCATAGGAAAGCCTTAACAAAATCTGGAAACGCTGATTAATAATCCTTTTCGGGAACCGTCCATAGAGCCGATCCACCGGGTTTGTTAGACAATCGAATCAGGACAATCGTGGTTGGCAGGTCTACACATGTGACTGCCACACCAGGTTAACTTCAGTAATGTATGGGATTACTACCTAAAGCCCGAAGTCACGTAACCAGGCGTCGGAAACATCGAGACTACAATCATCGGTGCCCAAGATGGTTCACACATCATTCGCGCATGAAGAAGATCAAACGATCATGAGTACTGTATTCGAAAGTGAGGTATTTTATAACCTTGATCAGCCAGTATCAGACAGCATCATTGTGTTTTCTTTTACTCAACGTGAATAGGAGCCAGGTGCAGAAGGTGGGACATACTACACAGTAGAAATGTTTTTCCCGTTTTTTCACAATTATTGATTTATCACAATACATCACGTTTCGTTCACACATTTGTACTGGTGACTTGTTTGGCACACAGTCTGGATTCAATTAAGTTTGAACTAAATATAACCACCTACTCTTTACCAAAGCCATCTTTTTAGACACAAATTAGGGACTTACTCTACTGTGGCTAACTCCTTCGGGAGAATAATCCGGCTCTATGATGAATACAAAGTTCCGTGGGAGTTTCGGATGATAAATGATAGCTCCACAGTAGCTCATTCAGCATTCGAGACATTTAGCTGCAATCCAGGGGTTCAGGTATCCCCGTGTGTTAGTTAAACAGGCATCTTTTATGACTGGTAAATCAGATAGCAGATCTCGTCCACCCAATCAGGAGCAGTTGTCTTCGGAGACAGTACACCTTATCGCCCGGGGCTTTCATACCTCAGTTACCCCGAAACCTGGTTTAGCCCATTAGTCGACCGGTTTCCTGAGATGTAGCAGCTGATTCATTTCTCAGCATGAACTACTGTATAGGACAGAAAACCACTTAGGAGGATGATCTATACCTTTTTCAGTTTAAGGTGTCCGAAATCCAATTTAAGATGTCGCAATACGAATTTAAGACGTCTGAGTATCAATTTAAGATGTCATGTTGCTATGTTTTCACTCTGTACTGTGCAAGGTACTATCCACATAGCAACATAACATCTTAAATTATTACCCGGACATCTTAAATTGGATTTCGGACATCTTAAACTGAAAAAGGTATAAACAGTATTGAGCCCTGTATATTTTGGTAAGTCCGGAAATTGGTTCGTATCCAAGACACTCCCCGGCAGAATTCGACCACTTTAGATGAGATCGACATGTTTTGTTTACAGTTCGGTATCAGATATCAAAATCTCCAGCTGTATAACTTTATCTGATTAACTAAAAGTGTAACTAATTGATTACTTCATAAACATGTTCACCAAATGGATTGAAGATTGAAAGTAAATTACTCTAACTAACCTTCATTTATGCTACTAACTGAGTAATTGGATGAAAAGTGACGACGAACGTACTTTTTGATCAACAGTTTCATCACGTCCAGATTGTTCCGTTCCGCGGCTTTGTGCATCGCGGTTTGCAAGGCCAGATCCTCCGTGTCAGTACACATACCGAAATCGATGAGCATGCGTGCGATATCGGCCGAACCGACTCGAGATGCCATGTGCAATGATGTTTCTCCGGCAAATGTGGTCACGTTCGGATCGGCATCTGTTGGTCAACAACAGAGTAGATCAACCCAGTACGGTTCAATATAGGCACCAAACAATCAACATTTAATTCTCATTAACTTTCGGCTATACCGGATTGTCATCCACAGTGATCAAGTGCTACAATTGGTTCCCAAGGTTGGATACCGTTTTACATCATAAGTTTGTCATTTCTATGTAGTTTTCCTCCGGCAAAAATGTGATACCGCCGGACTCAATCTCTCAATCACATCCATGCTCTCATTTCATTTATGTGCCAGACCGATGCCTAGATTGCTAGGCCACATATCATTCGTTATCTGAGGCGAAATTTGACATATGCACGAATTAAAGTCTGAAGGATATCCCAGTATCGAATACTCGGAATGAAACCGTTTCCAACCCGTTACACTAAGGACTTATGTATGACCTCTGTGCCAACTACAGTGTGACAAACAACCGTTTTATTCAGGTTTGTATATTAGCATCTGCAATCAGTTCCTGATTTGGTGAAGGGATTTCGACAGGAGTGTTAAGACAATATCCTGTCTCCTTGTGTTGCTCTCGGACATAATGAACTGCTTGCCTGTCAGTGAAGGCGGCATCAGAATGAGCTGAACGTGGCAATTTTGATTTTTATATGAGGAATGAGGCTTAAATGAGGCTTCAGCTGGGAAGCATTGGACAGCTGTTTCGACCTAGTTAGGTCTCATCACTCAATTGGGAATTGAACCCGGGACCTCACAGAGGGAACGCAAGCATACAACACTTATTTGGCCACCGGGCAGCTGATCAAACTGTTTCTCAATTCGAATATACACGATATGGCACAATCCATCTTTGCCCGTTCATCTCAGTACTAGCCTCCAGAGTTAAGACTCGGTTGAAAATTTTGACAACCGGACTCTTATACAATGCTGATTTTGTTGGGTAAACGAACGGACAGTGTTATTCTTCACCTTGACCTCACATAACACTGCGATTATTTTCCTTGTTTTATGGGGTTTAGCGCGTGAATCAGACACTCGTCCATGCTGGAGCCTCTCGCGCAGATGATCCATCATTTTTATTCTCGATCTGGGCAAACCGGAAACTTAAAATTGGTCAGCCTCGATGTAAGATAGTTGGCGTAATCGTAGCACACACATATTTTATCCGATATCTGGTGTTGAACGCCTGGAAGGGACGGTGAGTAGGCCTTACTGAAGAGCTTGAAGTAGAGCGAAATTGGAGTCTACTGATTCTCGAGTAGATTGGATGAATTCACATCTGCGTCTAAATGACGACAATGAAAAAGACCAACCATAGTGTAGGAAGGGTTCCTTTTTAGTTGTTCGTAATCTGGCCAGTGCATTCGAATTTATATAGTTTTGAAAAATGGGAAATTGACAACTGTACTAACCGGTAATTAGTCTCATACAAAAATCCGGTCCGGACATTCCAAAGTTCCCATGGTTAATGGTTTATTAGTTCGGCCGTATTGGATCATTCAACAGGTATATTATGGTAAAGGGTCCATCTGAAGAATATGCAAGCAAATTCCCGCTTCTTACGTTGTAGTCAAATTGCGAAAGGGAAACTACCAAGTCGAACTATATGCATGAGCGAAAGGCCTCATTTATATTTACAGTGCAATGTGTTTCAACCAGCTTTGAGAACTGACTACATCGGTGATAGACTTGATCGCGGGGCCTTTGAATTCGGCCGGGTCATTTATCTCCAAAATCATATTTACACTTTTGTGGATTTATTTGTCATCAAATCGCATTGTCAAAAATTTCAAGGACATCAAATGCTACCCTACACGAGCACGCTTATGGAATCGTTATGTGTTGTCACTTGAACTGCGCCTTTTTGAAATATTCCAACAATGTGAGAAATTCAAGTGGATGATCAGAACACAAAATGGCAGCAGGAGAAAGCATCGAGCGGGTTGGCAAGTCGCTCTCAGACAGTGCAGCACTAGTCAACTGCAAATTCCTCTCATTTTAACAAGCAATGTTCGTTCTCTGTTAGGAAAAGTCGAGGAGGTAGTACACATCACACGCGAAAAGAGTACAAAAACCTGGGAATTATTATGCTTCAGGAATCGTGGCTACATGAAGAAATCCCTAGTGAAATTGTACAAGTGGATGAATATAACTTGTATCGGGTTGACCGCCCCGCGAGTGTCCGTAAACAAGGTGGAGGTGTTGCGAGTTACGTCGGTGAAAACTGGAGTAAATCAACTGCTGTCATCTACGAATACTCAACGGATAAAATCAGTTGTGATGTCATGCAATGTAAGCCCCGTTTTTTGAGTGGGTTTCATTCCATCCTTCTTGGAAACTTGTACCTGTCACCCAAAATATCAGTTGCTGATATAAATAGCTTTTCTGACATTTTTTCTACCTCCATAATATCAAAAACAAGTGACTCTTTGTGTATATTTGTTGGTGATTTCAACAGACATAATGTAACATTCCTCACCACACTGGGTCTACAAAATTTAGTACATTTTCCTACTAGACTCAATTCACAGCTTGATTTCGTTTTCACAAACAGACTACACTTTTTTAAAGTTCAGAAACGCGCTCTCCTGCGCGGTTCAGACCATTGCATCTTAAAAGTATGTCCCACTGTATACAGCAAAACCAACCGATACACATTTTTGAGAAGGCCTTACAAGATAGTGAGTCAAAGTAACTGTTCATCACAAAACCTAGAGAGGCTAAGATCCATGATTTCCACCACTGATTTTTCGACGTTTCCCGATCAAAACCCTTCTGTCCTCTGTGAGCATGTTAAGGAATACCTCAATTTCTGTTTTAACCAGTGTTGTCCGCTCGAAACGGTCTTCATCCATAAAGACAGATACTCATCACTGCTACTCAAGCAGTTACGCCGGCGGGAAGAACAAGCCTACAAACACGGAAAAAAATCCATTTCAAGCGGTTAGCAATTTCGATCAAAGCTGAAATAAATCGGTTGAACAAACTGTACATCG